GGCAGCAGGCTGTGCCAGACTTGAGGCACAGGACTGCATCAGAGGCAGGGACCTTGACAGGTAGGCCGCCAGCCCCTCCTCCCTGGGGAGTGCCAAACTGGGCTCTGAGGCTGTTCTCTCTTCTTCCCCATACCCCGCCCCCTTTGTGTCTCTTCCTGTCTCTTTTCCATTCTTCTCTCTGTCTCTGTATCTCTCTCTGTCTCCCCCTTTCTCTCTTTCTTTCCATCCCTGTCTCTGTGTCTCTCAATTTCCATCTCTGCCTTTCCACCTCTGGCTTCTTTTCTCTCCTCTTTCTGTATCCATCCCTGGGTCTCCACTTCCTCTGTCTCCCCTGCCTGCTTCTCTATCTGTTTCTCTATCTCTCCTATGTCTCTCATCCTCTCTTACTGTTTCCACACTTCTGTCTCCATCTATTGTCTCTCTTCTGTCTCTGTCTCTCACTGTTTCTCTCTCCCTCTTTTCCTCTCTCTCCCATCCACATAGGTCTCATGGAGATACTCCCTAAGCGCTGTGTGCAGATCGCCAAGCGTGAGCTGTTGTTCACGGGGCCTGTGGGCCTCATCATGTACCTCGGGGGTGTCTACTTCATCAACCGCCAGCGCGCCAGAACTGCCATGACCCTGATGGCCGACCTGGGTGACCTCATGGTCAAGGAAAATGTAAGTGTAGGCATAGCAAGGCAGGCTTCAGGAGAAGGCAGTGCAGCTCTCTGGGGTGGCCAAGCAGGGTAGGGGCAGCCTAAGCAGCTTTCTCCCTTCTACCTGCAGATCAAAGTGTGGATCTACCCAGAGGGTACACGCAACGACAATGGGGACCTGTTGCCCTTTAAAAAAGGAGCGTTCTACTTGGCCATCCAGGCCCAGGTAGGCCAATCTGTGCCCTCCTGGGGTAGGGGGCTGGGACATGGGTCAGGGTGGTTTAAGGTTGAAGGTGATATCCCAGGCAGAGTGGAACCGCTAGCCTTTAGGAATCTCCTCCTCTCTGTTAGGAAAGAGCCTCCCCACCAGCTCAGCCCCTAACACCTGAGCAGGTTGGTGACCATTGGCAGCAGAGAGCTTGAACACCAGCCTCCCCAAACCCTAGCTGGCCAGGTGGGGCGTCTCTTTCATTTGGGGTTTCATGAAAAGTAGGGATGAGAGGCCAGCGAGTAGGCAGTTTGCTCGGCATAATAAGGCAGATTGTGCCTAGAAATTCCCCTGATGCCCCAGGCTCTGGCTTGATCATGGTGAGGCTGAGGAGCAGAAACAGGATAGTGACCAACCCACCCCTGAGTAGCACAAGTGAGCTCTATCCTGGGCCTTGGACTTCCCTTGCCCCTCAGCCTGTGTTGGGGGAAGACTGTCTATCAGGAGTGTCCTTGAGCATCTATCTGTCATGGGATGGGGCCCTGGCTATGAGGAAGTCTCCACTGGGGGACAGGGGAAAGGATTTTTATCCCATTTTACTGTTTGCTGCCTGGTAAGCCTCAGCCCCATCTGCCCATAGGGCAGGCAACTTCCTGGGCCCCTGGGCCCAACCCCATACAAGATGGCATGTACCCTTTCCCTAAAGCTCCCATCAGTTCCAAGGGTTGGGAAGTCCAGGCTGGAGCAGGAAACTGCACTGTGACCTCCAGTCTGTCTAGTGACTAAGCCCCAGATGATCTTTGGGTCCGGGATTGAAGTCCTAGTCCTCATTGCTTTGAGGTGTTGGCAGATCCTGGGAAGAGAGAGACTAGGGGCTGTGGTGGGGGCAGAAGAATCCAGATATATTGTTTCCTGCCCCTCCCCCAGGGCCTGCCCAGGGTTCAGCCTACCTACCTTCCTGCCCAGGCTCTGGCGTCCAGAGTTAATTATTACCCCTAGCCACCTGCCATCATTGGAGTTGACCCTGGGGCCTTCCAGGAATACCAACAAGCTCCAGCCCCCTTCCCTAGTTTCCTGGGGATGAGACACAGGATGGGAGGGGGGAGGAGGATCAACTTCCCCACCTCCCCAGTGCTAAATAGAGCCCCACCCTCCCACTTGTAGGATATTTTATGACCCAGTGAGGGCATGGGTAGGGGAGGGACACAACACACATGACAAACTAAATATTAGCCCAGAGGGCTTCCTGTAGGAGATGTGGGGGACAGGCTGAGTCTGTGAAACACCAGGCCACTGGATGTTTGCCTGGATGGGGGGATCAGCCACAAGGACACCTAGCAATAGCCAAGGCACCCTTGTAGTATTGTCCCTCAGCGTGCGTCCCTGTCCACAGGTACCCATCATCCCCGTGGTGTACTCGTCTTTTTCTTCCTTCTACAATGTCAAGAGGAAGCTCTTTACCTCAGGTGAGACCATCAGAGCCACAGGAGCTCACAAGCCTGTCATGCTGTCTCTTATTTATTTTGAGACAGGGGTTCACATACCCCAGGCTGGCCTGCAATTCCTTGTGTAGCAAAGGATGACTAATTTAGCAGACAGAGTCCTGGGCCCCTAGTAGTGGAGTTCCCACTTCTGGGTGGTGAATGAATGAATGAATGAATGAATGAATCTCTGCCAAGCACTGCATCATCTCATTGCTCTTTCTAGATGGGTTTTTTCAATTTTTCAGATTGAAAAACAGGTTCTAAACATAGTTGAGTTCCTGAGATCTCTATTGGTTCATGATGTGCAACACAAATAGGGACCGGTAGTGACCCCTGCTGGTGAGGGGTGGCAATTCTAAGTTGTCATAATATTATGTCACTAGCTTCCAGGCAAGGACCCTGACCCTGCCTGCATGTGGGTTATGTGACTTTACCCTGGGAGTCAGAGTAAGATCAGATGTTTAAAGGCAATGGAGTGAGCTAGGCTGTCTACGGCATCTGAGCCCCTAATGCCCAGCACCATGGAGAACTGAAGGAGCAAGTGTGATAAGGGACACTCAGGGCTCACTGAGTGCAATTTCAGGGGCAGAGGTGTCCTGAGTCATGGGCAGTGGCTACAGGAGAGGGTAGAGTAGCTCTAAAACGACCTAGGCGCACGTTTGCCACCTCAACCACAAACATGTGCACCCTGCCCAGGAGCTGATGGTAGCCAGGCTCTGGTGAAGAGAAGCTGGGCAGCAGGAAGCCAGGCGAGGAGAGGTGGGTGGAGGCACCAGTGGGGCCTCTAAGCCCCTGACAGCTACTGCTTCCTTCCCAGGAACAATCAGGGTACAAGTGCTGGATGCTGTCCCTACCAGAGGCCTTACAGAAGCTGATGTCACTAAGCTTGTGGACACTTGCTACCAGTCCATGAGGAACACCTTTCTACAAATTTCCAAGATGCCCCAGGAGAACTCTACAATTAAAGAGCCTGGGGTTGTGCCAGTCCAGTAGCCCAGGCCACAGGGGCAGGGGAGCTGGGGGAAAACAGGTGGAAAGCAGAGGCTGGAGGATGGACAGAAGGCCATATCCTACCATCTACCAAACACCTTATCCTGCTCCCCTGCTGGCCTGGCTCTCACTGGGGCCTGGAAATAGAAAGCCCTTTCTGACACAGGCCTTAGACCCAGGACCCCATGTAACTTCCCACCTCAGGCCTGTGCCTCCAGAATCCAGGTGTGGCCATCCAGCAGGTGGGCTGACCCACAAGACCATGAGGCACCTAGGAGTGGGCGACATGCCACCCAAGGCCCACTCCACGGTGTGGGATCAACATTCAGGACCCAGGCCATGGCCTGCATCAGGCCATTAGGAAGAGAAGGAACTTGGTCTCCCAGTCTCAAGGAAGCCTGGGTCACACAGCACCAGAGGGCAGAGCCTGCCATCCCCCACTGTCCGATGGTCTCAGTCACAGATCACTGCTGTACTGTTTTGTTTCGTTTTTTTTTTTTTTTTTCTTTTTATAAATGAACTCTGAGAAGTGCCTAGAGACCAGGGGTCTCTTTCAGAGGGTGGGCAAGAACCGCTTCCCAGGTCTCCATTCAAGGATCCAGGGTGGCAAGGATGGTATCTAACCACCCACATGTCCCTTCTCTCGGGCTGCAGTATATAAGTTCCCTGCTCCCCCAAATTGCCTCCAGGGGATGAGCTGTGATCAGTCAGCAGTGCTGTTCTCAGTGAATGTGTGGGGTCCACAGAACTGAAGGGTGACAGATCATGGGCCTGGAGGCATGACCTTGAGGACAGGCTGAAGACCGGTCTTTTAGCCTCTGGCTGTGAGTGGAGTCAGCAAGCCACCAAGGGAAAACTGAGCCTCAGTCTGCCTGCTGCAGCTCCTGTGTGTAGACAGGTGCTTCACTTTACTTGGAGCCTCCAGGATGGGAGTACAGTGCACGCCCAGTCCCAATTCACCCACTGACAGCAGTTCAAGTCCCAGCTTTTATTATGACAAAGATGGGGACAATCCCCACCTCACCTCTGGACAGGGTGCTCGCGTACCTTTCCTGGAAAGCCCTATTGGGAGAGTCACAAGACCCCATGCCCTCTCCCCATGCCCAAGTCCTAGGAACCTGAGAAAGAGGGAAAGACAAGCAGGGCTTTCTGCTCACAGGCACCACCAGATAGCACCTGAAGTCCGGCTGGCAGGGATGTAAGGGTGACAGCTTAGTCCAACCTGGGTGACCAGATGCTATCACAGATCTTTTTTGCAAGAGCCTAGAGCAGGAAAGGAAAGAGGGTGCAAACTTGCAAATCTGCCAATCCCCAGGGGTAGTTCCACCCACCCCATGGGTTCCCCAGGATCTTTGTGGGTGGGGAGGTGTGGCACTCACAGGACCCTAGCTGCTCCTCCAAGAAGGAGACCTGCTCACTCAGTGAATCAATGCGGTCCAGCTGCTGGAAGGAGTGGGCCAGCAGGCTGGGAAGGTCTTGTATCCCATGCTCTGTAGCCCGACCTGCTCACTCAGTGAATCAATGCGGTCCAGCTGCTGGAAGGAGTGGGCCAGCAGGCTGCCAGGGTCTTGTAGCCCATGCTCTGTAGCCCAAGAGGCCAGGCTGTGCAGTGGGGCCAGCACCAACTGCAGTTTCTGTAAGGGAGGTTGCAAAAAGCCAAGTGACCAGGAAGGACCAGTAAGGGTGCGATAAGTCCCCTACTGAGCTGTAGCAGCAGGGGCCCTGCTTACAAATAGAGGGAGCCCAAAACCTAGTAGACACAGGTGTATAACATACCCACAACCTAGTTAAATGGTTTCAGGACCCAGAGACAAGCTAGGAGTCATGGGACCTGTGGCTTGATGATACTTGGAAGAGTCCTGTACAACAGGCTAAGTGGGCTCTGAACCTCAGTTCCTCCCAGGCTGGGGAATCCCACACAGTGCTGCCTGGCATAGTAAGAAAGCCAGAATCCCCACAGCCCTTCCCCATAAAAAACCCCCAACCATCCTATCTGGCTTGGAACCACAGCCCCAGAGACTATGGGGTCTGTGGACACCAGCCAGACTCACTCCCATCCAAGCCTCACCTGCTCCAGCACATCAACCCGGGACTGCAGCCTGTGTACCTCCTCCCTCACCATGCTGTCCACTCCTGGGGGCAGATCGGGTGCTAATCAGGGGAGTTTCCTGCCCCACAACAAGCTCTTAGCCTTAGGAAGCCCTATGTCTGCTGCCACAGCTGTGGGAGCAGAGCCTGGAGATGAGCCTCTGGATGTTGCTGTTAAGTCTCAGGCCCTACCAGAGCACATAACTCAGAGCAGCCCCTGCCTACCCCCACCCCACCCCCACCAGGTACCGAGGTCTTGGGTCTGGCATGCCAGTGGCGATCCTTATGCAGGTCCGGTGCACTCCTGGCGCTGGGCTGCTGACAGCGCATTATTACTCACGGTACGAGTTTGAAGTGTCACAGCGCGTACCAAAAGTAATAATGTGCTGTCACCGGCAAAGACACGGCGTCTCCAGGCTGCCAGACCCAGGGTGGGGCTCATTTTCACTCAGTTGGCTGAGATGAGACTCCAGGTATGCCTGTCTCCCCACAATGCCTTCCAGAAACCTCCCTCCAGCCCGGGATGTCTGGGCTCAGCCCTCGCAGCACAGTGCTGACCTCCACCCAGGGCGAGCTGCCCCCTGTGACCTCCATGCTCAGCTCAACCACAGAACAGTGCTCACAACCCAACAACCACCCAGGTCAGTCACAGTATGGTGGAAAGGCAAGATTACCTGCTGTGGGGCTTGGGGCCACCAAGGAGGGTCGCTCCTTGGGCAGGCAGCGCATTCCATCTACAGACAGGCTTTGCCCCTCCCAACACTCGCACCAGTAACTTCCCACAGTATTGACACAGCGCTGGGGACAGCTGGCCTCTCCGGTACTGCATTCATCCACATCTGTAGGAAATGAAGGTGTTGATCTAGTTGTGTCTACAGAAGGCAAGGTCCTGGCCACAGGCCCCTGTTAGGACCAACTTATCAATGAAAACTGCTTCAGCTGGCAGTAACCTAGAATATACAAGGCACCAAGAAGACCTGTCTTTGAAGAAGAGCGGTGCTTACCTATCTGGCAAGTATCTCCTTGCCATCCCACGGGGCAGCGGCAGTGGCCTGGGCGGATACAACTCCCTCCATTCCCACATGGAGGCTGGCATATTGCTGTGGGCAGAAGAGGCCTGTCTGTCACCAACTCAGGAGGGTCTCCAGAGCCCTGTGACAGCCAGGGAAGGGTTGCCCTGCAGCGAGGATGCACTACTTGGGGGACAGAAGGCAGCAGGGCCTCTGCTGGGCAGCTGGAAGTGGGGTCTTACATTGGGCACAGTGCGCATTGCCCTCACCTGCTCCACAAGCCCCGGGAAGTCCGCTGGTCCTCTTCCAACCAGGGCAGCAGGCATAGTGAGGCCTGGTGGGAGTTGGCCCAGGGCTGCGGCGATAGGCAGTCCGGTAGATGGTTCTGTGGTGAATAAGGGTGGTTCAGAGGGGTCCAACATGGGGTGACCTATGCCAAGTCTTTCTCAGGTAGGATGCACCCTACCCACCTCATCTGTTTGTGGATGATTAGCCAGCATCAGTCCCAGGATCTGAGGTTCCCTTCCCAAGCCCCAGCTCATTTGGCATAGATGGGGTCAGCATACAAGCCTGTGTGTGCCACTCAATCCACCAAGCTTCTTATGACAGACACACAAGCTCAGGGACTAGTGCAGGGCTGGCCCCTCCTGCAGTGCCCACTTTAGAGCTGGCCTGGCTTGCTTTCCTTTCCAGGACTCTGGGCCCCAGGTGCTAAAGCTGCTCTCTGACTCGAGCACTCGAGTAACTTTGGAAGTTCGGGAGTCCCTGAAATCCTTTCTCAGGTGTTTCTAGGCAGGGCAGAGGCTGAACTCCCCACATCAGAACAAGGGCCTGCCCTCTTGGCTGTGTCCTGTGCTGCTCAGACTGTTCTGTTAGCCTGATGGGACATCAGATGGCCCACATGGGCATTGTCCCAGTGGATAAGGACTTCTAGCTAGCAACGCTGAGAAGGAAGGAGTAAACTCTGAAAGAAGAGGGGTACAGATGTTATGAGAAGCCCCTATACATATGGGGGTGTCCCCCGAGGTGACATCCTCTCAGAGGACAGTGCTGGGAATAATTACACAGCATCCTTGGGTACCAGCCTTCAAAGCTGGAGGCCACCTTGATCCCCAATCAAGAATGCCTCATTGCTTTGGCCTCAGCTCCCCAGCTCAGGGGAGGCAGGCTCTTGGTCTCCAAGGATTACTCCTGTTTGGCAATGGTGAGATGGGCAGTGGTACTCACCGGTAAGTGCTGCAGGCACGGTGTCCATCACAAGTGGTGAGGAAAGGCTGGTACACACGCTGCACAAAGGACTCCAAGATAGGACCTCCAGAAACTCCCACAGCACACACTCTGCGGCTATAGGGGATGGAGTCGGCAGAGGATCCAGAGCTAGGACTCTCCCAGTCCAGGTATGTAGAAACATGGGGTATGGGGGCTTCCCAATGTTGCTGTGAGCAGGATCTTCAGCTGGAGCCCACAGGAAATTGTTTCCAAGTATTGCCCCCCCCCCCCCTTGGGCAGGGTTGAAGGGCTCTAGACAAGACCTCAGCACCCCAAGACCCAAGCCCTTGCTCACCTGGGCCTATAGACATGCTCAGTACCACCTGCTGCCAACACTAGACACCATGCCACAAGCAGCTCTCGGGAGCCCCACATGGTCTGCATATCTAAGTGGGGTAGCCTTCTTTTGCTGGCCTAAGGAAAAAGGTTGGGTCCTGTCAGTCCCCTATGGAACCCCTGGTCCAGGCTTCTAGCGGAATCTGTACCCACTTGTTGGGTGCTGAGGCTACCACTATTAGCCTTCTTTTGCTGGCCTAAGGAAAAAGGTTGGGTCCTGTCAGTCCCCCTGGTCCAGGCTTCCAGCGGAATCTGTACCCACTTGTTGGGTGCTGAGGCTACCACTACCGCAGGCAATAGCATCCAAAGGAATGCTGGCTTTCTCCTGCCTCTGGCCCATCTTTGCCAGCCAAGCTGACCCCTCAGCAAACACATAGCAGGCCTGCTGACCAGGACTCCTGGGGCAGGAGGAACCTGAATCCTGCTAGGTAGAGCGAAACCCAGACAGAGGGCAGCTGAACCTCTGGCCCATCTTTGCCAGCCAAGCTGACCCCTCAGCAAACACATAGCTAGGCCTGCTGACCAGGACTCCTGGGGCAGAAGGAACCTGAATCCTGCTAGGTAGAGCGAAACCCAGACAGAGAGCAGCTGAGGTTCTGGGTGGGGCCTGGGTTGAGCAACTAAGCCAGTCTTCCCTCACCCCACCCCCACCCCAAGCTGGATTGAGGGCTTTCCTGTATCTTCCACCGTCTGAAATGGAATACTGTGGATGGAGCTGAAGCCAGCACAGCAGGAGACTTGCTGTCCCATGTGGTCCTTTTGGACTTGAGGTTCTTTGTCAAATGCTCGGCAAACCCCCAAGGCACTAAGGATTTCATATATACAGATGTCTGCTACCTGCAGGTGTGCATGCTCTGACCAGCAAGGGGATCAACAGCTTTCAGGGGATCCCACTTTTGGACTAGAGTATGTGTATAAACCAGCTACCAGGGCTGTGACCCTATTTTACTCCCGCCCAGGGTATAGTGGAACCTCCCCACAACAAGTCTTTGGAGCCCATCTCCAGACTTCTTCTGGCTGTGTGTTAACGGAGCAGAAAGGCTGGTGAGGAATGCAAGAAGCCCCAGCCCAGACTTAATGGTCTGTGACAATGCCGAAGGGGCTGAGTCAGACCTGTGCAAGGGGAGGGCAGCTGTCCCATTGTCCTGCATAGAGTCAAGAGTGTGGGAGGCTGCCAGGTTCCACTCAGGTTCCTATTGGTGCTTCCTAAAGGGGCAGCACCCCCCTCCCCAGACCCTGCACAGCCCTAAAGACCTACCCCAAAGGAATGGGGAAGGAGACAGGTGTAAAGGAGCCTAGGGCAATCCCTTTCTGTGAGACTCAGTTTTCTCAGGCACCACTAGGGTACCTGAGGCCCCTCTGCTCCATAAGTGGATTCCATAGTAACCAGTGATGGCATTAAATGGTTACTGAGCTCTGGCTGCTGGCCTAGCCCCTCTTCATGGGGTGAGCAAGCCCGGGCCTACTTACTCAGGGCTACTCTGAATCCACATAGTCCTGTACCAGAATCATAGGCAGGAAGGTGATAGGGAGCCTTCTTTCTGTACCCCCTATCTGTTCAAGGAGGGCAGAGAGCTTTGAGATGAGTTACCTGAGACAATGTGGGGGCAAGAAGACCAAAGGGAAATATCTGGGCAGGGGTGTGTCCTGCATTCTATCTGAGCTGGCTTGGGAAAATTAACCCTGAAGGGAGGGCACCATCGGGGAGCGGTCATTTTCAGGTGGCCCTGAGGAATAGTGCCCAGAAAGAGATATAAACCAGCATATGGCACAGGCAAGAGGGTGTTGGTTTACAATCCCTGTGTGCCTAGCCTCCGGGGCCTGGAGGGTTCCTCTCCAGATGTCATTTTGCCCCCACAAATCTTAGTCCACGGCACCTTCCTGGGGATAGGCTGTCTAGAAAGAGAACTGTGTTTTAAACAGGAGAAGCAATTTTTGAAAAGTCATGTTTTGCCCAAGGCCAGAAGACGACAGCACAACACTGGGCCGGCAGCTCATTTCCTTTGGTGTTTAGCCACTAGGTGCCCCCCGGCCAGGCATCAGGCACAGGCTGTGGTTGTGGCCCTCAAGTTGACAAGTTATCATGGACCCTCAAGTATGACCATGGTCCCCAGCAGCTATCTCCCCTCTCCACCTACCGCTCAACAGTCCCCGAAGGGGTAGACTGGTTCGCAGAGGGGGAGCCTGGACACCAGGGAGAGGGCCCTGGGTGCCTTTGCTGCGGGACAAGTGTCTGGACATCAGCACCCACGGATTGGTGTAGGAGGTCCTGACAGGCATGGTAACCAGACGGACTCGGTGGGGGTGTCCTCTCCATGGCCTGGTCCCTGCCCCTTTCCAGGCTCCATAGGGGTAGGGACAGAGTGTGACAACCCCCCAGGACTACCCGGATGAGCTATGCTGTGCGGTGCTGCGACCCTGTTGGAGGTCGCATGGCCAGGATGGGTAAGGGGAGAGGCGCCCCGGCCGCCAGCAGGGGT